CTGTTACTAGTAGAATAAAGTCAAGTAATAATATTTTCACCGATCCAGATATACAATCGTGTGGTATCGTAATGTATATTTCGATAGTGAAGATGATACATAAAGTTTTGCTTTAATTTTGGTCCAATTTTTTCTTCGAAAAAGTCTATATTATCGATATCTCCTTCTACAATTGAACTAACTTGAATACTTGACAATTTTGATAATTGACATAATATGTAAAACAATTCATTCAAACTTGTGATTACACATTCAAGGTGTTCCAAATTTGAAAATATGTTACAAAAGTGTTCTAGTTCATATGAAGTAAAAAGTGAATCAGTACCATTGACAACTAATTTTTTAATCATTCTATTTAAATATTCGCGTGCTTCATAATTACTGAACAATGGTACTAGACTTGATTTTGGTACGGTTATCGATGATACATTTGGTGTCTCTTTTAATATTTCTAATAATAATGATGATTTCATTGTATAATTCCATGGAAATTCTAAATATTTTACATTAGATAAATTAACATTCAACTTAAGTACTTGTATATATTGATAATTCAATTCGATATTATTATAGCCGAGCCTTTCAGGATTGAAAATTAATGATTTGACATTTGAAAAATAATGATGCAATATTTCTGTTCTTGGAAAGTATGTTAATTGTGTAACATTGCTTAATAACTTTGATTTATTGATCATCATCTTACAATTAGTATTTGTATCCAAGGTTAATGTATAATTCTTTGAACTGTACGGTATCGTAAAAATGGTCGCAAATTTTTGCGTTAATTCATATGCGGTATGCCATTGATGTTCTTTATGCCAAAAATCAGTTTGAAATTGTTGAAATTGATTCAATATCAAATCCTTATACAAAACGATTACGCCTCGATAATCACAGCGGTCGATATGAAAATGAAATTGAAAAATGTTTAAGTTAGACAATGATGATGAAATAATACGTTCCCAACGATAAGCATCACATATTTCTTTACTGTAAGGACTAAATAGATTCAAGTTTTTAAAATTTTGCATTTGTTTGAACAGGAATTCAAGAGAATCAAATTGAATCAAACGTATTCCTGCAATGAATTGTGTTAAATGAACAGCTTTGGAACTGACAAGACTTAAGTCTAGGTTACTCGAAAAACATAGATTTTCGACTTTTAAATATTCTAACATCGGTAAACATTTGAAAATTTGATATAACTGAATTGGATAAACAGAACCAGACAGTATTAAATGTGTCACTGATAGAATTTTATCAATTGGTATAAAATCAAGAAATGATTCTGGCATCGATAATACTCTCAATGTGGATGGAACTGACGCTAGTAATTGATGACGATGACTATACTTTGTAATGAAATAAAACTCTCGTAGATTAGATAACGATAATAATATATCTTCTAATGAAATATTTCTTTCGATATCAATTAGGGTTAATAATCGTAGATTAGGAAATTCATTCAGGTGAAAAAAATGTAGAAATGCTTGGATTTGATTACATGTATCCATTGCATCTGATAATCTTAATGAGTATATAGCACTTTTCATCACAGGATTCAATAAAATTCTTGTACAAAATTGATCAAAAATAGATTTTCTGATATGTTCAAAATTAAGATACAATGGAACATTTTGAATTAATATATTAAAACGACAATTTAATCCATCAAATCCATGAAATATATCTTTACCATTTAAATATTCAAAACAGCTCAATAATATCTCATTTGGTAATGATTCAAAATCCATCATAGTGATCACAATTTTGTTAATGATGGAAACAATTGAAACACTTTATATATACGTGAAAACGTGTGTGTGTGATATGTTTTTTTCTAATGACTCATATTGTCAATAATGATATTCAATATGAAAAAAGCTTTTTGTTTTCAAGATAAGAATATATCATTCTTATCTCTACGAAATATAATGTTTGTTCTCAAAAAATCTTATGCTTCAATGTTATTTTTCTAGTGTTTATTACTATTGCACTATTATTTCAAAAGAACTAACTCGTAATGTGACTCCTTCACATGAATCGACAACGATACGTACTGTGCAACATATAATGATTAGATGAGTTCGAACTAGAAATGTCCGAGACTAGCTTTGGTCCTGGTTTCATGAGAACAAGAAGTTGCTGACATCGGAACTAAAGATTTTAGGTATATGTTATATGGTGCTAGGCGAATTATCTTTTAAATCACAGCAATAAAAGCAAAATTCAGGAGAGATAACCAAAAACAGTAACAATCAATACAAAAAAGATCAGATCATGGAAAAAATATAATTTTTTTCATCATTGTATACAGAGATTTTCTCTAACAAACTAATTCGAATTCTTCAATGATGAAAAGATCTAGTACAAAGTAAATATTAATTTAAATTTATAATAAAAACAAGACAAATTTAATGTACTTTTTTCCTTCAACTGTTCTTTCTTTCGAAGCTATTCAGACGATCATGAATGAATAGAAATATCTGAATAGTTCTCCTTTACCGAGATATATTCTCGATCTGTGCCTTTTTCTAAGCTAAAGACAAATAATAATACAAAGCTTTTACAAAGCAAAATTTTAGAAAACAAACCGAGCATTCTTATAAACTGTTAAAAGAAACGAACAGTTGTTGTCTGTTCATTGAAGGACTATTATTAATTGAATATGATTTGTACATTTTTATCACATAAATCGAAAAAAACAGCCATTAAGATTGTACAATTTAAGAATAGTACTTGTTTATTTTCTTTATGAAAATGTATGAAATCAATCCATAGTCATTATTTGTCTAAAACTATCTTTATCTCAACGACAATTGCTTCTGAAAGACATATTATCTCCATAAAGTTAATGTAACGCATTTAGGATAATGAATATTTTACGTATTGCGTTTGAAGGATTACATAACTTTCTTCAATCTACGAAGGTTGAGCAAAGCTAAATTAAAAACGATAAGATTAGCGTACTTTCTCATAATTCTTCCTTTACATGGAAAATAGAACTATCGTTTATCGAATATAGAGTTTGAGAGATAGCATTATTGATTATTTTCTTTATATACAAATAGCTTTATCTGACATTAATTATGTTGATTCTTGTTTATCTGTACCTTTTTATATATTGGACAATTTCGGAAATTTATTCAATGCAGCAGTATTTTTGCATTAATCTTAGAGAAAAAATGTTTGTGTATTTTATTTTCTCATTTGACTTTTCGTTGATTCGATAAATATGAATTGCTCTGTTCTTGAATCATTTTCCTCAATTGTTTTAACATCATATAGTAAATTCGATGTTCTATCTGGCACAATAAAAATATTTTTTGGCACAAGTCTATGAGCGCATATTTTCCCATAAAACTCGAATCTGCTGCTAACTTTACTTGCGTAGACTGATATGCTAAATATAAAGATTTTTCTTGCAATTTTTTTAACTTTTTGCTTACCATAAATAATTGTTGACATTTGTAATCGATACTACACTTAAATCTTCTTGAACAATAAGTCGATCTTCACAACGACTACTGATCCCATGTTTTGAACTAGAATGACAGCATAATGGAAAATGTAGGAGAGTATTTGTTTCTAAATTTGGCGGAAAAGAGAGATCTGAAATGGATATGTATCATATTATCAGCAATATTGATCAAATCAAAAAATTTTATTAGTTAGCTCTCAATGATCAATAAATAGTCGGTTTTTTTCTATATGGAGTGCATATTCTAGTGTATTTCTTTGTTGACGATAGAGATATATAGATATTGAATGAGTGGATAAAGATGACTAAAGAAAAATAATAAAATTCTGTGAATTATTTTACTTGTTTTAGTTTTATCATATATATTTGACGTATACGAAGAATTTTTTGAAGCTGATAATATAAGTAAGAACAATTAAACAGTAACACCGAGTAACGTTTTTAAAAAAATAATTTCGGATAATCTAGACCACAGAGAGATGTATTGTTTTAGTAAAATGAATTTCTATATGATTTCATTGAAATATTGCACTTCGTTCGTTGTTTATTATTCTCAGTAGTGGAAATAGTTTATCCTACCCGATGATCATTCATTGTTAAATGTTTGGAATACGAATGAGAAAATAATAAAATATTTTACAATATTTTTAGACAGGACAATGCAAATTGCAAAAATATTTTTTATGAAAAAGATTGACGAGTGCATATTTGGTATTTGGATCAAGAAAAGTTCGAAGAACTTGATGCAAATTTCAATAGTCTTATTATTAATGATTTTAGCAAGAATAAATGGTTTTCTATGATAAAAATAAAATATTTCATGGTGAAATTTATCTGAAAATATCGTGTGATGTGTTCTCTTTTACAGAATTTAGTTTTTGAATACAGATGAGCTCTGTTTGTGGTCATTCGTGATGTGTCCAGATTTTCTTAAGTGTTGAGTATTTTTCAGCTGATTTATTTTGGAGAGTGACAATTCCATAATGTGTTGAAGTGTATTTTCTTGACTTTTTCGTCAACCATGTATTATAATAAGACACGTTCTTATTATTATCTTTTTAATGTCATTAACGATACATACAGTGCTAAGAAGTCGTTTGATGAAAGTTGATCTTATACTGATAACACAAAGAGATTTCTGTTTTTGCAGCAGAATTCTCTGTTATTTTGTGAATTTTAGATTAAAACAAACAATGATACTGCGATTTCTCTTTCAAAAATTGAATATGCAGTCAAACATGTTTTGCAAGATAATATTTTGTTCAGCTGAAAGCGTCTATTTAAAGCCTTAAAAGTGAAGTTCGTGAAATGACTTTATGAGAGAAATTCATTTGTTGATAGAGACTCTGTCGAGGAAGGAAAAGTTGATTGCAATCAAAGCAATCACCGGCAATCTTGGCTAGCAGAATATCAGATTTTTCTCCTGGACATTATATGTTATCAAAAACATGATTGTCACCCTCTTTACTGATGACAATAACAAATGTATTCAGAAACAACCTGAATTCTTTATCTGATGATGAAAGCACCAAGAACAATCAATAGCAATCATTGACAATCAGATAATCAGCATTTCTCCCCTTGTGTTCTGTACAAACAAAGTCGAAAGTGCAGCTAAAGAGTAAGGGTTTGGATGTGAGTGTGAGTTATTCTCCTTTAATCACCCACGACTTGTCGGCGGTGACTGTTCAGTCGACCAGTTTACACTAATAATTATAAGCATATACATGTTGATCATGAAGTGTTGGCATGGATATGGATATTCTCTATAGTCGCAAGCAAGACCCATATTCTTGTGCACACTCTATTTGAAATGAACTTCCTTGTATGAGAATATGTTCTTCATTGTTCTGTTATCTTGAATGTTTTAATTTTGATAAGTGTAAATTCTCTTCACAAAGCCCACAGTTGAAAGATATTAAAATAAAAGAAACGACAGATAAAAAAGACATGAAAAAAGTAAAAAGATTGCTATCTGCCAAAAATAATAAACGAATCATTCAACTCACTCTCAATTAATATCCACACGCCTACCTTTCAACAGTATTTATCATTTCGGATTTATACAGATTTATTAGAAAAATCCTGTCAGAAACTAAAAATTTGAACTTAGCTCTAGACTATTAGAGAACCTAAAGAGAAATCTCCGATCAAAATGCACTTTTTCCTGGAAACAAACTTTCTCAATTGTTTTACATGACTATGAAAAGGTCAAACATTGTTCCTATTTTAAAATAAAAGGCAAAGCCACTAGAAAAATAAATAACAGACACAACAGATATACAAAGAGATTAATATAAAAAAAATCATATTGGATTTCTTCATATGAAAATACTGGCAAAGAGTTCGTCTGTCTCAATATAAAAATTCAAAAACTATTTTCCTCTTATGCAACCATGATCATATGATGCCTGATCTGTTGTACTTAATCATACTAATTGAATATTGCTTGATGCAAACCTTGCGATTAGCAGTTCATATGAGTAAGAGTTCTGGACTAATGACTATTTGAATTGAACTGAGATCATTGGAAAAAAGAAACATAAATTAAATTTGAATAAATATTAGAACATAAAGAAAATTGTTTATGAATCTTATCAAAAGACTCATTGTTTAAAACGTTACGATCGGGAGAAGTTATTTGATATTTTAAACAAAAAACTTTACACAATTATTCTATAAGCATCAACATCAATCTGAATTCTATCATATATATCCAATATAAGTATGTCAATAAGTCTTTTATTATAAGCCTCTTTATTGATAGAAACTTCTCATAAAAGTGACGAGGAGGATATCATTTCATAGGGAAACGTTTGCAATTTTCTTTAAATATTATTTAGATCAAATTTTTCTTCTACTTTTCAAAGATTCACTTATACTTCCTAACATATGGTTCTTACGAAAATTCTTTTACACGCATAGAATATTAACACAGGTTTATCAAAATTTTTTTATTGAAAGTCTAATGAGAAAAGAAATATATGGTTCATTAATTTATTTATTTATATTATTGAGATTTCTTTTACAAAATCAAATATTTAATCTATACATAATTTGATTTCCAAAAAGGCAGAGACACTTTTTAGTCAATGAAATTAACGTACTTCGAGTATAACAAAAGTTTTTTTTTATTATTGTCAACAGATAACAAACTAATTGAAATCATAAGATTTAAATAAATAAATATAAAGCATAGATAAAGATACTTCATATTCAGATCAATTTTATTAACTAATAATATTAGTAATTTCCTTTTATACATTATTTTATTAT